CTTTCTATGTTTTTTTATGTTAACGTATACCTTCTGATCAACTGTGATGGCAAAAAGCAAGGAGGAAAGTGTTCATATGACATTACCACCACGGTGTTCTTTTGGACAACATACTCTTAGGGTTAGGATCATGACAATTATCTGTAAGAGTTCGGAGTATATTAACACTCAACCTATACATTAGCTCAAAACTACACAATGTTCTCTTTTCTTCTTCCCAAGGACAAGAAAAAAGTGAAATCCCTTCAGGAATTTTATCATAAAAAATTATTCAATTTTCTAAAACATAAAAGGGAAAGAAATATAATTCAAATCAAAGATTATTTTCCTTTTCCAGTAATCTTGAAGAAAGTCTATACAGCTTTGATATTTTTCATTCCTGGCTTAATGATAAATTTTATATCATATAATGAAAACTTAATAGTTCAAGCATCCATGGTGTTTTGGCTTTTAATTGAAATTACTTTGTGATCTTTTAGGAAATCCATTCCATTATGATACAGCAATTGTACATGATAAGAATTACTGTATGAACCTATATAATACAGTAAATAGAAAACAGCTGTATTTAGAGCTTTCATATCGCACCTTAATGCTATGCATCCCGAGACAAGCCCAAAGTGGGGAGATCACAAGTTCCACTGACTGCAACCAGGGCTCAGAGTGTCATTACCCCTGGAAGGATAACAGCTTTTACCCAGCTGCCCAGTCAGAGCTGACATTCTCATTTTCCTATACAGTCCTTCCTTGCCATGATACCTTATTCTTTTCTAAATGTCTTCTATAGATTAGAAAAAAAATGAAACTGATGCTAGTTGTAGCTCTGTTAAAGCTAGGAACACAAAAGTATTAAGTTTAAAAGTACACGTTTGGGGGCTGAGAAGGTGGCTCAGTGGTAGAGCACTTGCCTTGCATGCTTGAGGCCCTGGGTTCGATTCCTCAGTACCACATAAGCAGGAAAAAAAAAAAGCTGGAAGTGGCTCTGTGGCTCAAGTGATAGAGCACTAGCCTTGAGCTGAAGAGCTGAGGGACAGCGCCCAGGCCCAGAGTCTGAACCGGACCCCAAGAAAAAAAAAAAGTACATGTTAGGCAAAGTTCAACATAGTTAAGGACAAAGACCCAGAAAGAAAAATGAAGGCAATTTTGACAAAGGGACTAGTCAGAGACCCTTGCAAAATGGTCCTTTTTCTTTCCTTCCTTTTTCCTATTTATCTTTCCTCTTAATCTGGGCAATTTTTATTTTTCTGCTTATAAGGAAGAAAAAAAGAAAACCCAGGAGTCTTGTCATGTTGGCTCTTACAAACATGTACACAGCTTAACAATATCTGGATCATGGTGAAATAGAATAGGTTTAAAATGGACTGATATTTGATGAAACAGGTGAACCATACTCTGTCAGAAAACAAGTACCAAAAATATGTAAACCTTAAAGCTTGGGTTTACTGTTATTCATTGTTACATTTGGATCTTTGTAATATGAAAGTTCAGTGAATCAAGAACCATTTAATAGCAAAGGGCTCCCTGAATCTGAATTACCACTGCTCAGCTAAAGAATTCCTATTGTCTTCGTGAGTTACAGGCTGAGTCCTTCCATCAACAAGTGCAAAAATCACAATTTATACTTCTTAAATGGTAATATACAGTCTCAGATTATTCATGGGAATAATAACTCTTGGTTATCATAACCCTCCAGATGTCTGGGCATGTCATGTAAAAGGAAAAGAACTATCATTTTAAACTCCAAAAACTAAAGTTATTTCAGTAAAACAGAGCTAAAATAAATCTGAATTATTTTAAAAGATTTTTTGAGAGAGCAACTAACTACAATAGAATTTCCCCCCTTTTTAGTTCCAAGAGCTTAAATGAAACATTCATGCATTAAATTCAAAGTCTGACTGTCAAATCACTTCACTTTAATAAAAATTTGAATTACCTGCCTTAGGGCATTATTAAATATCAAATAAAAAGCACACATCCATAAGTCTGATTTCCCAATATAATTTTTATGTAGAACTATAACTAGATTTGTATTACATATTTCAAGATAAAAGGATAAAAATATATTCATAAAAGGATGAAATCAGAATTGGAGTTGCCTTAAAAAGAATTCTTGTTCCATTCTCAGCAATTTGTGGAGAAGTAATTTTCTAAGTATATGTAATCTCAGCCACTAATATCCGAATATAAGCCCTCTTTCTTTTACATATAACTAAATTGTAATTAATTAAAAACCTTTGAAAGAGTAAATACTGTTCTTTGATGATATAATGAAGTAAATATCTGAGATAATTGCAGAGGTGCTAATCTCTCACTTACTTGCTCACACACACACACACACACACACACACACACACACACACAGAATTATAACAGTGATGGGTATTTTAGAATTAGAGGCAACCCTGATCTAGGACTAGATATGAAAATAACACTCATAGTAACAATCTCATTTCATTTCAAGTGTCATTTACAGTTAATACCAGTCAAAGAGAAAATACTATCCTCAGACTGGAGAAACTGGCCAGTTCAAGTTCATTACCTCCTGATATTACACTGCTACTCTCTTACGGGGCCTGTTCTGTAGGCTCCCCTTCCTTCTTCCCTCTTCTCCCATTCCCACCTGCTCTTATCCTCCTGAATACTGCTCCATTCCTCATTATAAAACAATAACAAGGGGCTGGGAAGGTGGCTCAGTGGTAGAGCGCTTGCCTTGCATGCATGAGGCCCTGGGTTTGATTCCTCAGCACCACATAAGCAGAAAAAAAAAAAAAGAGCCGGAAGTGGCACTGTGGCTCAAGTGGTAGAGTGCTAGCCTTGAGCTGAAGAGCTGAGGGCCCAGAGTTCAGGCCCCATGACTGGACCAAAAACAAAAAACAAAAACAAGTCCTGGACACACTCAGTCTATAAACCACCAGTTCTTTCTTCCTTCCTGCTACAGGAGAGTAAATAGGATTAACAAGGCTTCTGAAGTCTGAGCTTCACTTGCTTCTCACCTTCAACTATTATTTTTTCTTCCTCCTTTTCCTTTCTCCTTCCTCTCCTCCTCCTGCCTCCCCCCCCTCCACTCCTCTCTTCTCTCTTCTTTTTCCTTATCCCCCACCTCTTGTTTTGTTATTACTGAGGGTTTAAACTCAGGGTCCCACTTTCACTAGGCCGGTATTCTACCACTTGGGCCATGCCTTCAACTCTACTTTTCGTTTCTTACTTTGGAGATGGAGTCTAGTAATCTTTTCTGCCTGGCCTGACTTCAAACTGCAATTTTCCAGATCTCACCTTTCTGAGTAGAGAGGCTTGCAGGTATAAGTTACTAACACCCCGCAACTTCAATTTTTATACTCCAGACTCACCAAAGCTGTCTCTCAGTGTAACAAAACTGTTGCTTCCTCCACAAGGAATACTGTTACAGGGCCTTTACAAAGTTATTCTCTACCTGAAATCCCCACCTCCATACTGGTTTGTTCTTCCCCTTCGTGGAAATTGTTGCCATGTATAGTGATGTTTCAAGTGCTATTTTGTTACTGGCAGTGTCCCTACATCAGTCCCCAGGGTACAGTGACCATATATGTCCTGCTCACCTCCGTGTACTGGAGGTAGTACACTTTGGTGTACCCCAAACAAGTCCTGTTATAGGTTTTCAGTGACAACTTTTAATTGAATGGCATTTTACTTCTTTAACTCATCCCTTATAATGCTTAGCCTAAAACATTATTGCCTTTTATAAATGTCTTCACATTCCTACCAGAGGTAAGTTTTATTGACCTCATCATTTCCAAAATTAGAAGAGGAGGGGATGAGCTACAGTAGTTAAATGAGAAATGGGAATATAGGACAGGAAGGAACTTGGCTGCTGATATACAGCATGGAGACCTTCTGAGGATCTTCTCATTTGCCCAAAGACATGCAATACGTTTTGATGGAGTCATGGTGAAATAAATGTATTTCAACCCATGAAAAGCTTAAAGTATGAGAGAAAAAAATAAGAATGCATAAACAGCTAAAATGAAGAAAAAATACAAAGTGAGATGTAACTGAAGAGAGAAGCAGAGGATCCACATGAGAGCAATATTTCTCCATTTCCTCCATAGTCCATCAAACTCCATCTTGGTTCCCCAGGAACCATCCCAACAATGTATTCCCTTATGCCAAGAGGTACCTTACTGTGATGCACCTTGACCTAAGCATACTTAGGCCACTTACAAGATAAGTAGCCATCTAATACATGGTCATCTTTACATATTCATTATTTCCATATCTGTGTTTTTTGTCCTTCAAAGATAAGAAATACATACAAAAATTCAATATATTAAAGTGTATACATTGTGTTCCAATGCATAAAGCAAAGTATTCCATTCAGACAGTTAGTAAGTGCTTCTTAATCTATGAAATAAAAAGCATCCTCAGGGGTGGGAGCACAGAGACAGTAATCGATGGGGATGAATATGATCAAAGCACACGGTATGTATGTTTGAAAATGTCACATAAACCCCATTATTCTATGCAATTATGCACCATTTTTAAGAAGCCTAGTATGCACAGGACAAGTATTTGTCAGATCCACCTGACAGTAACCAATAGACATGATGATCAGATGTACATTAGGTAAGATGGCCAACATGGTGGCACAGGTGCTCTTCTAGCTCCTTCCTTTGTGTTCCTTGGCCACTGGAAGGTGACTGCTGAAGCTTCAGAAAATAACACCGCTAATTACTTAAGGAGTTCCTTACAGAATGATGGTTCTTTGCCACATGTGCTTTTCCAACAAAACCCATAATTAAAGGTGCTTTGGTAGAGAAAGATGAGAATCAGAATTTTTTGTCTATTATTATGTGTAAATAGCCAACTAATTTGTCATGAATGGATCTTGAGAATGTATCATAGACTTTATCAAAATGAAGACTACTTGTTTTGATGCTAAATTATCAGGTTGACCATAAAGTGGCTTTGGAATACTAAATTCAGATATCCGAGCTCCTAATTTTCCTTAATTAATCTGCACATACCCTGAGGGAGATGGCTACTGAAATGCAGCTCTGATGACTCTGTCACTAAGTGGCTGAGTAGGTCGAAAGTTGTCTCCCAAAATTCCATCACAACCTTCCACAAGTTCTGCCCCCTTAACATGCGTCCTCAGCCTGCGAAATTCTTCTATCTGAAATTAAAAGCACAACAAAATAGATAACTCATTTATAAGACATTAACAGGAATCAAGTTTCATAAGTAACTCAAATGCATGAATTATAATACAAAAGAGAAAATTAAAATTAAACTTCAGAGAAAAACAGACAATTCTTCCTGACTTAAGTGAGATATCTTACAAGGCTATCTTAAGAGAAGACAATACAATTAGAAAGGTTGAGATATGGCTCAAGTTGTAGAACAGCTGCCTAGCAAATGCAAGGCCCTGAGTTCAATCATTAGTACCACCAAAACAATTAGGGATCAAAGTATCTAGATAACTCCAGTAGCCATAGACACTTGCTGGATTTGTGTAGCATGAAAATGATACACACCTCTGACAAAAAGCTTTGTGCCTGTCTATACCTCTAAAAGAAAGGATGAAGAACAAATTATTTCTTAAATGCTTCCCAAATGCATATTCTGGTGTTATCGTATATTAATTCTGATTACAAGTTAGATTTGACAGGTAAATTCAACAGGAGATTTCTTGCTGCTCCTCTCCTAGCAACAGCAGCTCTCAAGATCATTTCCCTTTCTCTGGCAGCTGGTCTACACTATTACATGTGAAAAGAGTCCCAAACTCATGAGGTCCCTTCCCATCAGCTGCAAGACAGTTTCTCTCATTTGCCCAATCTAAGCCTTCTAAGAAGACTCAGAGCCTGGCAGGCATGACTCTCTGAGAAGTGTTTACGCAAAAAGCAAAGATGCGATAAACACTTTCCAACCTCATTCCTGGTTATTAGTTGCTTTATGCATCATCTGTTATTTCATTAAAGTGCTGTATAGTCACAAAACAGACAGTCTTCACTTTTTGCAGAGAGGAAAGTGAGGCTAGAGGTTAAGAAAATCTCAAAATAGGCAGTGCCAGAAATCTAACAATACTATGTTTATTTCTAAATAGGTAGTACTTGTTTAGAAAGTCGAATCAAACCAATGTATACAATATCTTGCAAATATCCCAGAGTATTGAGCAATGTGATTTATAGAGCATAAATGCACCAAACACTATTCAAGAAGGGAAAAAATATATAAGGGCTATAAATGTGGCTCCATTGTAAAATATTTGTCTAGCATGTGCAAGGCCCAGGGTTTAATCCCCAGCAACATTCATACATATACACATGTACATCTACAAAGGCCCTAAATAAAACACAACTGAAAAGAAGAAATGAAACAGATCAACTGTATCCAAACTCAAAAGGGTCCATGAAATCCCTAAATGATAAGCAAAATGTCACATGTACATTTTGTTAAGGCAAAGATCCCTGACTCCTAAACCGTTGAATCCCTCAAGATTCTAACTCAAGCCTCTCCCATAAATGCTAGGGCACAAAGTTGGGGGGAAATCAAATTGTCTGTTAAGTTAAAAGCCTGGTTACAAAGATTTTAATGCTTTATTAAGGTTTCTGGTGTTTTATTTTCCATGCTTCCAAATACTAATTGATTTCCTCAAGTGAATCTTTAAGGATTCACAAGAGTAATATAAGAAGAACAGTCATGAAAATCACTCAGCCTAGTTCCAAAGATACAGTAAGTATTTAGTGTTAGCTCTCTTATGTAAACCTTTAGCACTTTGAGATAAATATTTGACTACAATTGATAGCAAACCAATTCACTGAGAAAATTCAGTCTTCCATCTTACCATTCTCTGCATGCATAGCTATCCAAGTAGAAATGACAGAATTCATAAACCATGGATGGGATAGGTGGTGAACAAAGTGGACCAGAAAATTAACTGCTCAGATACATCTTAAAAACCAGTCCATTTTTTATTGACTTTGAAGTTGATCTTAATTTTATATTCACATATCCTGAACTGAAGAAACATTCTTCAAGCCCCCAGGCCTCAGCCTTAAGTTCATTCTATGAAAAACAACTTCTTTGCAAGAAATGAGTCATATCAACAGCCAGCCTCAAATCACTGCTATCTTACAGAAAACTATTTCCCAGAAATATTTCCCTCTGATCACAGTAGTACTTTGAAGATTTCAAACATCCAAGGAGATTGGGGGAGGGGGCAGAGCATCTTTCTAAAATGCCAATTTTTCTGATATAACCACCCCTCACAGAAGCCTTTAGTCACTTCAAATGGTTTCAAGTGCATACTGAATCAGCCCATGGTGAAATAGAGACTGATTCATAAAAAGAATGTTTCATGATAAAAGCCTTCAACAAACTCAAATGTCAAAGAATTACAGAGACCATCATTATTACATGTGTCTGAATGTGCAATTGCATAGATTTTTAAGACTACTGCGGTTAAACATAGCATTTCCTTTTAACCAATTTAAGACAAATATTTATCTGCATCTACATAGATTAAAAAGTCACAGGAGACAAAGAGGCGGGGGAGAAAGAAAAAGAGGAGCAGAGACAAAGACATAGAAGACTAGAGATTCACTGGTAACACAATTACTAGCTGATCTGAGCATCAAATTAATTTTTCTTCTTCTTGAAATTAAAATGCAATTCCCATTCCTGCCTCCTCTTCAAGCAGGTGTGGTCATGCAACCTGTTCTAGTCAGTAGACAGGACAGATAAGTACAGCCTGTCATTTCTATTCTTGAGAAAACTCTCTTGATGTCTATATTCATCTTCCTGCTGGCCACATGCTCCTCCAAGGGCCACCTGGGAAAAAATGCGTGAAAGGTAGAAGACTGTACAGAGACAAACCATCACTATGAATCAGAAACACATGCTGGATTTTATGCCAGTATGAAGTAAGTTATCTACTATAAAGCACCAACATTTTGAGGTTTCCCTGTTACAACAGCTGGCATCTTTGTTATTAAATCTCAAATCTATTCATCTTTAGTCCAAGGCTCTAGTCTTGAAATTTCTAACTTCTTTACTATCCTTCACCAGACTAACTTTTAATAATTTTCTGGAATTATTTTCTAAGCTTCACAGCCTCAGTTAAACTCCTTCCTTACGTGTTTTCAGTTTGTTGGGGGTTTTTTTCCGTCTTCTTCGTGTGTGTGTGTGTGTGTGTGTGTGTCCACGCGTGCGCACGCGTGCGTGTGTGTGTGTGTGTGTGTGTGTGTGTGTGTGTGTGTATGTTTTACTGGTTCTGTGTCTTGAACTCGGGACTTGGCTGCCATCCTGGAGCCTTTTCCACAGCACCACTTCTGGCTTTTTCCGAGTAGTTTATTGGAGATAAGGACTTCCTGCCTGGGCTGGCTTTGAACCATGGTCTTCAGATCTCAGCCTCCTGAGTAGCTAGGATTGCAGGCATGAGATACTGGTGCCCAGTGCCTTCCTTGTATGTTTCTGACACAGATTCTTAGCAAAATTATAATTGTTAATGTAGTTATCTTAGTGTTCAACTCTATGGTTAAGTTTCTGCAAGTAAAGATTGCTTATCTCTGTGTCCTGTGTCTAGTTGGCACTCAGGAATAGTTTCGTAGAAGAATAAATAGATGAAGGAATTAGGATATGCCACGTAGAAAATATCAAGGCCCAAAGGAAATGTATTTTACAAAACCTAAAATAATAACAATATGTACGGGGAAGGGGAAAGCAATAGAGGAAGGCATTCTGATTAAAATATAATTATGCATGTGCAAGATAAGAACATGAAACCTATTGTTACAATTAGTACATGTCAAGAAAAAAATGAATGATGGGAAAGTAAAACAAGTTCTCTTGGAGGCCAGTTTGTGCCAGCCAGAGGCCAGAGAGAAAATAAAGGGAATGAGAATGAATATGACTGACATATTTTGTATGTATATGTGAAAAATACAGTGTTGAAACTGTTCTACGAAGAGGAATGGGAGGATGAAGGAGGGTAATGGAGGGTGAAAGAGATCAGGTTTCATTGCATGCTTGTGTGGAAGTAAAACCTCCTTGTGTAGCAATTACATACTAGCAAAAAGAGATTTTGAAAAGTATTGAAAGAAAAAATGAAAGGCAGAGAGAGGAGAGGCTGAATAGGGAACTGTTAAAATTATTCCCTAAAAAGGCAGAAATAAGGAGAAAATGTTAAAGAGAGCTTTCTTAAATATTAAAAAAGGGAGGATTTTAAAGATTTAAGGCCAAACAAAAGAAGACTTGAATGAGAAGTTAGTAAACGTAAGCTTCTTAACTTACAGAAATAATAGAAGATCTTTTCTTTAAAAAAAAAAAGCAACCTTTAAGACTTTATTAAAGAAAACCTCAGAAACTTTGTTCTGAGTATTAAAGTCTTTGAGGTTGATCATGAAAGGGAAATACAGCCTTCTAGAAGTATCCCTTAGGCAGATCTCTGCTGGACAGGAAATATTTAAAGCACCTTTTTTATAATAATACAACAATCGTTGTTCATTTGTTCCTGTGTGTATGGATCCCCAAAATTTACAAATACTAGGCAAATGCTCTACCACTGAGTTAAACACTCAGATCCTTCTAAATTGTTGTTTATACCTTATAATGATGTTACTACATGTTCCTTTTTTTAAAAATTTATTGTAAAGGTGATGTACAGAGGGTAAAATCAGGTAATGAGTTCATTTCCTTTTGAACAGTGTCACCCTTTCGCTCCTTCCCAGTTTTTCCCCTCCCAACTGACTCCCTCCACATACACACACAAGTTGTAAAGTTCATTTCCAACATAGTATCTAGTGAGTTTCACTGTTGAATTGGTTCACCCTTTGTCCCACTGGTTCTGTGCTTCCCCTTCCCCAAATCAAATAAACTTATATACAAGACAAAGGGTACAGAAATCAAAAACAGTGTCAAAAGGGAATACACCAAGGGAAAAAAAACAAAAAACAAAAAAAATGCAAACAGTACAATAAAAAAGCCTCTTGTTTCCATTTCTTGGAGTTCATTTTGATAAGCGTCATTTTATACGGTCATATGCATGTAGCTATTGAGCTCTGTGATCCTCTCCTAAAAATATCCTCCTTTGTTCTCACTGTGTGAATGTTTAGACTGCTGTTTAATTAATCATGACAAGTGTAATTATTTGCCTTACTATCTATTGGGTTTCTTGTAGCTATCACATGTTCTATCAGCTGACGCCCCAAGTACTCCAATCTTTTTTAATGTTAGGCTGGTCTGGAACTCCTGACCTTTCACATTACCTAATAGCTAAGATTACTGGTATGTTCCACCCCAGTTAGCTTACATTAGTATTTAAAGCACCAATAGCACCTAAGCAGAACTTAAGGCTACAGGTAAGTGACCAAAAGTAAAGCCAATGAACAATTTTAAAGTTTTCACTCCAGCTCCACTGTCTCTCCACACACGGAAATCTCTGTGCATGCCAAGCAAGCTCTAGCAAATAGCCTGCATGTGACCCATAGAGATAATGAGCACCCATACCTTATTTTCAGGCCTTTTTCTTCAATTTGGGAAAACCACATAGAGGAATAATTGAACTAATCAAAAGTTTGGATCTTTCTATTACTTCTATTTATTCTAACATAAAATCCAGGTCATAAATGAGTGCTAGGTTTTGTTCATCCTTGACCTTTCCTTTGCTTTCACTAGCTCAAGACATTTAACTTTCATCTGAAAAGGTGCAACTGGTCTAAAGGGAGCTTAAACATGAAACAGACATTTTCTTTTTACAGAAGTAATGTTTAACCTTTAACTCAAAATTTCACTCTCAACGACTTAAAAGAGCATACTCACCTGTAACTGGGATATAGTTAAAGGGTATCGGAATAATATCCAGGTAACACCTTCGCTGCAAGGTGGGATCGTAAGAGAGCCTTCATAGACCCAGTAATCCCGCAGCAGAGGGTCTAGGCACAGACATGGACATGTCATGAAAATGCAGGTTAATAATCTTGAATATTCCAACAACTCCCCAAGCTATAAGCTGACCCAATAATACTTCATAGAGAGATATCATTTTTAAGGTAGAAGTTCACAAATGTATTTTTAAATTAATCACTGTTGGAGAAAATAATGGAAGACAACATGATAAATAATCCATTTATTTACCGTGATTTATATCAATGGATTACTATACATTTCTGTCAAATTTTATTTAGAAAATCTATTAATGTTTTAGGTTTTTTTTTAATACTGGATGATGTACCTCACTGATTCATGCCTCATATTTATTAAACATTGTGCCAACTGCTGTTCTGAGTATTATACATCAATTCACTTAACCTTCATAAAAAAACAAAGAGATTGATGCTCTTATTAGCCCCACTGTTCAGATGGGAAAAGTAAATCACAAGTTAGTAAGTTTCCCAAGGTCACACAGCTTGGTAACTAGCAGAAGCAGGATTGAAATCTTTTAGGGTGGCTTCAAAGCTATATTTTAACCATGAGTTTCTAGCCCACTTTCTACTGCTTCTTCAACAGTAAAATATTAAAGGCAGAATATAATAGGAAAAGCAAATCACTCATCAAATCATCTAGTTATACATCACAAGATTTCATGACTGAACATGAGTATTTGCTTAACACATAACAAATTGGTTTGTTGTAGAGCAATTAAAGATAGAAAGCAAAGGATATATACAGTGAATTGACCTATTTCATGTTGTTTGAAACACTACAAAACAACATATTTTAGGCAGAAAAAGTCAAGATAAAAATTCTATATAAAGCGCCTTAGAACTCCAAGTTATAGTCTAAGTATCTTATGCACAATTATTATAGGAACAAAATTACAATTAGAATAATATATAAATAACAGTATTACTAAATGATATAGTCTTGTAAAATTATATACCAAATTTATTTCACACTAACATGGATGAATAAGAAGTTCACTGATTGATATTATACTGAAACTTTTCACAGAGGTAGCAATGTTAATCTCAAGAAACTTTTCATGGATTAATGGAGCTAGTGATGAAGAGTTTCTTTATTATTCCAAAAATTTTAGACCTATATTTATGGCCATCTGAAACAGAAGATAAATTGTAAAGAAACTTTATTCACTAATAGCACACAGTTGCATATGTTCTGCAGCAAGCAGTGTCACAGATAAAATTCATTCATTTTATGCCAGAAATGACATGCTTACCTGGTAATAAAGTGTTAGGATTAAAGCAAGGTATTGTTTTGGACTTTCCCTGAAAAATTAAAAACAAATATTCACTCCATGTTAAGGTAAAATCCCTAATTTTTGAATAAAATTTATTAGGACTGAATCCATTTTCTCCATGATCTCATCAGGTTGCCTAGATTGGAGGTGTGTCGCTCTCTTCTCATTGTAGCAAAATTGATGAGTTCCAAAGGAGCCACTCCTACTTGAGTCTGTGGTTATTTACTACTACATAATTCTTGACATGGAATTTACCATTAATGTCCAGTTGTCATATATAAACTACTTTTTTCTGCTTCTAACACATTCATACCCAACATAGGCTGAATATATCTTGGAGTAAAACACTTGAACTGGCTTGAGATATTCTTTGAAATTATTTCTTCTTGTGTAGAGCTCAGCTCCTAAGTGGCACTGCATGGCTGGACAAAAATCTGTGCCATTTGGGTTTGGAAATTCATGGCTAAGATCTATTTAGGGAGCTTTCTCATTCAGAAAAGGAGATCTGAAATTCATCAATTTTTTTTCCAAAGAGGGACTTAAATTTCGAAGGAATGATCAGTGCCACATTCAATAATTTACACTTAGGGGTTTTATTTTAAATTGTATCATTTAAATGGTCTTTGAAGTCAGGCAAGCAGTGGGCTCAAGTCTATAAACCTAGCTACTAGGGAGGCAGAGATCAGGGGACTGGGGTGAAATACCAGGCCAGACAGTAAACTTGGCAGAACTCCATCTCACTCAATGGCTGGGCATAATATAGGAAGACCATAGCCCATGACAATTCAGTTGTAACTCGAGACCCTACCTCAAAAACAACCAATGCAAAAAGGTGATAGAGGTGTGGCTCAAGTGGCAGAGTGCCTAACAAGCATAAGGTTAAGGTTTTTTTTAAAGAAGGTTCTTGTGGCACATAGACCTATTAAAACAGGTTGAACTTCTGCTATAAGATTACTCTGTGAACACAAATAAAACAGGGAAAGTTATCACAAGTTCCTTCCTTTCTTTCTGGAACTATTTTATACAGGATTAACTCTAGTCCACCTCCCTGACCCCTGTCTCTGATGTTGATTAATGTCTTATCAGCTGAAAAAACGAGGGAGATTTTCTAGCTCATTTCTGCAGAACAAATATGGGCTGGAAATACACGTTCTCCTCCTTTATACCTTGCTTCTCTTGTCTAGGCTGGTCTTCCAGGGGCTAGAGACTGAGTTCCTGAGGGCAGTTAGATAGGCAGGCACACAGTCTTACATGACCAACCCCTTATCAAATTTGTAGCCATCTTGATTCAGGTGAGCTTCCCTGGTTGTTAGCACTTTACATGTGTAGTGACACATCATTACATCATTGCTGAGGTCATCATCGGCATGCCCACAAGATCTTATATGGAAGAGACACCAGAAGCTTGTTCTGGTGCCTTTTCCCTTAGCTGATTTTTTAAATCTATTACTTTACACTGGACTTAATCATAACTATTAAATATAATACCTTTTCTGGTTCTTTAGGGTAGGACCATGAATGAAGCTAATCTTGATATGGGAGAGCTCTGTGTGAAGGAACTGGGATCTCTTACATTTCTGTATTTCTGTTCCCTTTTAAATAATGATTTACCTTATATTGAATATCCTGGAGTATTTCAGTCACAGCTTTCAGGCCAACATGTTCCTTCCCTATCTGAAACATATAAAGTATAAACCACAAACACAACAGTTTTAGCATTCAGCTTTTAATTAAAGTAACTATCAGAAGCTAAGGTCAAATCCTCCTACTTAGGGAATTAAAATGACCTTTCTATTTATAGCCAGGCCACTATCTACTAAATGTAACTAAATTTGTAGCAGCTCGTAGAATAAAGAATTGGCTATGATATCCAAGAATCCATTTTAAATTCATCTTCCTACCTATAGGTATCAGTCAGAGTGTCATATATATCAATTCATAAAAGGCTGCTATATAAAACTGTCAGGAAGAGTTCTGAATTAATAGGACTCAGTACATGCCCAAAACCCTTGCCTTTTTACCTTTGGCATTTATAGATCACTGATATAAATATTTTATCAAAGTTGAAAATTTTTATTAACTCATAAAAGTGGGTATATGGTTTCTTCTGTTAAAGTTATCAAAATGAGAACTCATTTCTCAATTATCACTAGTTATAAATCATCATCACTAGTCAAAATTCTACAGCTACCTCTTTATTCTTGAATAAGGATATTTTTCATAGCCTTTTTTTTATGTTTCACATATTTTAACATACAAAAATGCTCCCAAAAATTGAGACTTGAAAAATATAAGCTGAGTCCTACTTTTTAACAGCTGGTGAGGTCCGTGACAAGAAAGAAGGTAACAGCAGAGGTCACTTAATCCCTCACAGAAACAATCTCTTATACTTAGCTTTTGCTCCTCCACCCACATTTTTGCAGGACAGCCTGCAAGAACAAAGCATAGCTGTCAACCTGCAAACAGTCTCTGTTTCTCTCAACATTAACAAACTGTGAGATGCACAGGATAAAGAAAAGAGACAAACAACACTTAATATAAAGCAGACCAATGAGTTCATTGTAACCAAGGTATATGCTACTTTCTAAGCAAAATTTTGAAAAGTTTGCTTTTTTAAAAAACACCTAATGCAAATATATGCATAAGTGAAGAAATCACAATCTCAAGCAGAAGCCTTATCCTCAGGAGAAAGGAACCATCCTTGTCTTAGTGGTTTAACCAGGAGACAAAACTTGGACACCTGTGCCTCTAGCTGTGGACTACCTCCACCTCATATATCTCCTGATGGATTTTAAACCCTAAAAAGAGTCCACATATGCACATTGTTAGACCATATAATGCACTGGTCTAGGAGTGAGCAGCTTTTCTTAACTGCCTGGGTTCTAATCTTGGTACCTCCACTTTTTAGTTGTGTGACTTTGGGCAGGTTTACTTCAACCTCTATATTCTTCCTCAGCAACACAGTGGAGAAGGTAATAGTTACATGGTTGAAGGTTAAAATTAAATTAAATTATTTAGAACACAGATAAGTATGGGGGTAAGAACCCAATTTTTTTCTACCAAGAATCATATGGATATTGATAATATCATTCTTAGGCCATATAAAATTATCAATGCAGGCTGATGGTTTCAGAAAGCCAATAAGAAGCATACGTGTCTGTCCCACTGTGTACCCGGAAGATCCCCACCCCAGTCTGTCACATCATAATTCAATTCATGTTATCCTTGCATTTGTAACCTGAATTCAGCATCAAATACAGATTCTTACATACAGAGCACTTAATCATTGTAATTTGTTCCTTCTCTCCATTAAGATTTTTATCTATAAAACTTTACCCAGAAAAACTACAACAAATTGTATCAATTACTTTGTGAGTTTCCTTCTTTTGCCAAAGATTTTATATGAAGAGATTATGACCACCAAAAACCAAGTGTAGCCAACCATCTTCACACTACAATCCTACAGCCATTCATCTTCAATGTTGCCAAGGAGACTGGGACCATGAGACCAATTACTCCCTTTCCTCTCACTCTTCCATCCTTTACCACAACAAAGAACTCTGGGCATTTCTCTTCTCCTAGAGTCTAACCTTGTTCCACCTGTTTTCACTTCTAACTCTGTCTCATCTTTTGTCCATTGTACTCCTTGTATACAGGATGGCTCTGTTCTTGACATGGCCTCCCATTATTTCCTGTCTAGGTCTCTCCAGACTATAGCTCTCTCAGGCCTTCCTTGTGGACACTGGGCAGTCTCCCGGGGAGAAGGAAGAAAGCTGTCAGTCTTCCAATATCACCTTTAATTTAGTATCTCTCACTCACAAGCACAGACAATTTTCCCTAGTTGACTATCTACTTCCGATGCCATCATGTCTTCACTGTCATTTACTGACCCACTGGGCACTCCTCCTAGGCACTCCTCCTCTGTCCTCCTGAGAGTCTTGTGAGAAACCTGACCCCTCCATCCTTCACCTTCAGCACACCTACTGAGACCATACCCTGCATTCACTTTCATCTGAAGTCCAAACAACCATTCTCTCTGACCATTCTTACATCGCTCAGCTTTCTCCTCCTCTGTTCCTCTCTTTCCTTTTACTAATCATTAAGAACGAAGGCTTTCTTGCTCCTCTTGACTTCATCTCCTGCCCTCTCTCTGCTGGACTGAATGCCATCTCTTCCACCACCAGCAAGTCTCCATCCCTACATCTTCTCAGGCCATCTGTGATACAATAGATCAGCACAACAATTTGCTAGAATGCCTTGCTCTCCTTTGCCTGGACAGAAAACTGTCATTGCTAACTTGAACAATCATGAGGACCAGACACAAGTGGCTGTTTACTCTCCCCCTTACTGTTTATTCTCCTCCCTTCTAAGCTACTCCAAAGCCCAACCACACCCTTGATCCCTCATTCCATAAATAATGTTGCTTTGTCTGTCTCAGATATACCAGAGGCCATAAGTCATGAGCTACCCTAATTTTTTTTGCCTCTCTTTGCCTCCAAATTGGCCCTTTTCCTCCTGGCCCTCTGTTTCAGAGAAAGGATGGTTTGCCACCAATCCAACTCTTTCCATCTATGTGCATTCTCCAGTTCATGCACTCATTTCTCCTCTAAGACTTTTCTGTATATGCTATCCTTTCTCTTTTTCAATATTTTTAAACTCAACGACTATACTAACTCTTGTTGCTTAGAACAGAAATACAAGATCTTTAATTTCATAAATACCACTAGCAATTGCCTATTTTGTACTTATCTCCAGTCAAGCTTCTTAGAAGGTAAGTCCATACTCATTGGCCACAATGTCCTCTCCACTGCTCTAAGCTGAGAGCCAGCCCCAGGAGGGAAGGGGGATGTCCCTCTACCTCTGCCTTCTGTGTTTCTGGGATGAGAGGTGAACCACTGCACCCAATTAAAATTAAGTCTTTAATGAACAAGATTACCAAGTTATTAGTTAAATCATTTTGATTGATACATTGTGACGTTGTTCTGCTATATGTGTGTGTGTGTGTGTGTGTGTATACATGTGTGTATGTATATAAAGCATATATATGCAGTTATAAAATAGAAAGAATATGAAGCCCATAAAAAGTTACATAAATAAATAGTGAGAAGAGAATTCATTTTAAAAATAATGATATGCTTTTAAATGCTATGACATTTGTTATACTTTCAACACTCTGGTCTTATCTCGTGTCGTGTTTCCTATGAGAAACTTCAAATCATCTTCAAATGAAAATTATTAATAACAAAGAGCTAAAGTAATCCACTACATGATTATATTATTGATTTTTCTTAGGTTTTGCAGTAAGCTTGGGTTTAAAGGTATTTCTGAAATTCTTCATAAATGAAATGAACTCTACCTTCAGGAGATGCTTTCAAAATCATTTCTCCCAAGACTCTAGATGCTACACTGAGGAAAATAATAAGTAAACTATTTTCTAGCAAGGAATTTGGCTGAACTCTCATGAACTGAAAAGATGGAGTTTTATATTTTTACATGATCAGTGTTCTCTGTATATGTGTTTGAATTTTACCTTTGAGTAGTAAAGTTGAAAGAATAGAAAGTATTTTACAAATGACTTGGAAATCAGCATCTTCTAATCAGTACAACTGTAACAATGGTTTACCTGAACGAACAGGGCAATGATGGCTATGCCATGTGGCTTCCCCACAGCCTCATCAATGCTGCCAAACAGAGTGGAGTTCCAGTGGATCAGGTGCAGCTGGTGGGTGACAAACACACATCATATCACTAGTGCCCTTCCTTGTAAGCACAAATAAAGTGTATCTTCATCTTCACTGTATCTCTATGGTATCTGCGCAACAAGGAAACCACAAGTAGACTGTTGCCTGAATAGGAGTTCTCTGCAGGAATTCTTCCTTCTTACTTCTTCCTTCAATTCAGTTCAGGAGAAGCACATCAAGGAAAATTTCAAAGATTTCCTATTGATTCAATTATCTTTCCTTAAATGCCATTCCCTCTGGATCTCAATGGAATGAAACTCCAGATCTGGGCACAAACACCATAATTCATTCAAAGGAGAATATAAGGTAGAGTGAGGCATGGGGGGAGGGGCTAGTGAGACAGCTCAGAAGCTCAGAAGCTGTTTGTATAGTACATATGAGAAGCCCCAGGTTTCATCCCAGCATGATAGATAGACAGACAGACAGACAGACAGACAGACAGACAGAGATGGGGGAAAAGGAGAAATAAAGAAATGGGATTTCTACTTGTAATCCACCCAGAATTTCCACCAGAAACTATAGAAAGCCAGTCTCAAATACTGGCAAATTATTTCAACTTAGAATAACCAAAGACAGCACACTATTTAAAGAAATGCTATTTTTTAAGCCATGGTAAAATAATAAAGGCTGTTGTAAACCTAGATAGAACTAGATAGAAATTTTTTTCTGTGAAAAAATGCCAATGAGGGCAGAGAAGCCTACTTCATATATCTGTGGAGCTTCCAAGTGTCTCTAGAGCATTCCCTTGCTCCTACAGCACTGAAAAACACCTGCAAGAGACCAGCTGAGCTCCCTCATTAAAAATCAAATTGTGACTGAGCTTCTTAGTATAGCAGCCACTAGGTAAAATCTTCTGCCAGAAATACTGTCTTCATTATAGCTTTTAATCAACTGTGTCATTTACCACCTTAAGACATTTCCCCATTTGAAAATTAGCTTTCAATACAAAAACACACAACTAAAATTCACTATTTTAGCAACTATACTAAAATAGTTTTTAAGTCTCATGAAGATGGTCAGTTTTCTAATTTTTCCACTGCTGAATTTGTCCATGTGCAATACAAGACTAAAAACTGGCCACTAGAGGGAGGTAATAAAATCAGTAATAGAAACAAGTAACAGACTAATACAGTGAAGATGGGACTGTGAAAAACACAGGTGAAAGAAATCCTTAATCCTGTTTGTCACCCATTATCCACCAGTTTGTGAACTAGAAAAAAGTTACTCCCAACAGGTGGTAAACTACCACATGGGGTCCTTGGTTAACAAAGATGAAAGCAAACAGAATTCAGATGAAGATGAACTGATTTTGTCACTTTCCTTTATCAAATAACCAGAGGAGTTGTTGCAAGAAGCTATGGACTCAATGTGGCTAAACTAGCAGAGGATCCTGAAGAATTTTAAAGACAGAAGCCCACAAGTAAAAAAAGAGCTGGAAGAATTAATAAATATGAAAAGGAAAAGATTAAAGTATTTTGCAAAATTATGGATGACACATAACGTAAAAGATCTACAAAAGTGAACATCTTTCAAATGGAAGAAATACAAACTTCTTTTCCTAAGGTGAAAACTACGTTTTTTAACCAATTTTCAAAAGGAGAATTAAAAATACCAACTGTACAAAATAACTCTCCACTAACAGCCCATCTTTGTGTGACATGTAAGCATAAAATTATGACCATGAGCCAAGTACCAGTGGCTTATGCCTGTAATCCTAGTTACTCAGGAGGCTGAGATCTGAGGATCGCCGTTCAAAGCCAGTGTGGGCAGGATAGTCCATGAGACTCTTATCTGCAATAAACCACTAGAAAACTGGAAGTGGTGCTGTGATTCAAGTGGTAGAGCAGTAGCCTTGAGCTGAAGAGCTGAGGGACAGTGCCCAGGCCCAGAGTTCAAGCCCCATGACCGACAAAAAAAAATATGACCATAGTATATTCCTTTTAGAAACAGATATTTTTTACTCTTGAAAAGTTTGATTCCTGTACTGCCATTTCAAAGGATAAACTTTTGGATTTGAAGACTTCCATTACATAATTTAAAAATTTCCTGGATAGTAAGTCTCACATAAAATCTAAACCTTTTAAACAAAACCTAAAGTGGTAGAATATAATAAATATATTTGGAGGATACTATACATTTTTAACAGATATTTATATTTGTTTCAGTCCAGACAATTGGCAACAGTATAAATCTGGTAGGATTCTACCTTTCACTTTGAATTAAATTAATTTTATAGTATCACCAATTTATTCACCATGAATATAAAAATATTCCATAAGAAATAAAGTTATTGACCTTTTAGAAACTAAAGCACAGGAGAGGAATAAGATGATGTGAAATTTGAAGAATTAAACTCACGTTTTTTTTGGGGGGGTGCGATCATGTGGCTTGAACTCTGGGCCTGGGTACTGTCCCTAAGCAATTCAGCTCAAGGCAAGTGCTCTACCACTTCCAGTGTTCTGAGTGGTTTATTGGAGATAAGAGTCTCACAGACTTTCCTGCCCAGGTTGGCTTTGAACCACAATCCTCAGATCTCAGCTTCCTGAGTAGCTAGGATTACAGGCTTGAGCCAACAATGCCTGGCTAAACTCATATTTTAAATGTTGTTGGGGCAATGTCATTCTTTCTGATGGAGGCATAGAATTCCATTGTGTATATATACCACATTTTCTTGATCCATTCATCTACTGAGGGGCATCTGGGTTAGGAAATGGAAAGACTTGGAAACAATTATATTAAGTGAAGTAAGCCAGGCCCAAAGAAATGTAGGTCCCATGGTTTCCCTTATTTGCAGTAACTAGTCTATGTCTGAGACAAGCAGAAACGGTCAGATAAGTTGATGTTAGGCAAAATGAACTCCAAGATAAGGATTCAAAGGTTTTTTCTTTCTTGCGATTGTTTCTAACGTATTTATAAGATAATTTATTTGTTGCTTTGTATGTCCCTCCCCCACAGTATAACCCCTGCTTTCTCTGTATTTGATGTTGGTATAATTTGTGGAGGGGAAGGGAACAAACAAATTGCTTAAATAGAGATACAGATGGACCCATTTCAACAATGAGATGTACAAGACGTTAGGTTGAAAAACAAACTTTACAACTTGGCTGGGGGGGACAGGGGGAAAGGGGAGCAGGGGGAGAGGGGGAGGGGGGAGGGAGGGGAAAGGATTGTAAGGGGAAACAAAGGAGGAGGCAACAATGCTTGATAAGAAATGTACTCATTACCCTGCCCATGTAATTGTAACCCCTCTGTACAGTATTTTCACAATAAAAAATATGTTGTTGGATTAAATTATTTTGTCATTCAAATAATAAATATTTAATGAATACCCGCTTTAAAAAAAAACCCACAAGCCAACTGTAACTTCCCAGTGAATGTTAATTGTCAAGGCACTGTCTTTTGAGAAACTCATGTTCTATAACATGTTTACAATTAATAGTAAAACACTAGATAGTCTTAGTATTTCTTCTCTAGCTGTAACAATCACATAGAAGTCTAGGGGGACAGATAAGAACTGGCCTTAAGGAAGGTCTAGGCCAAGGTTCAATCTGACATTTTCTTAGACCTCAAAACATTCTTAGGAGCTATCTTTTTCATAAATAAAACAATAATAAACAAAGAACAGGTTGTTGGGGGATGGTGATTACCTCCCTCAACAATGCACTCACACCTGCTCTTCAAAGAACCCTTTATGTGTGTTTTCAGAACTTGAGGATCCCGTGTGCTATGCATGATGACTTCAATGCAGACTACAGGGCAGAAAAAGGTGAAGAGTAAATTTATAGTAGAGGAATCAAAAGGTATATCAAGGTCAACATCAACTGCAATTCATCATGTTGACAGTAGCTGTCCTCAAAACTAGATAAAATAGAATTCTATTGCTGTCTTCTTCCACCTGATATTCCAGAACCACAATGTAATCATGAAAGCACACCAGATTATTTTAGTGGGGACATACTACAAAATCCCTGATCAGGACTTTTCGAAACTATCAAGAATAAGGAAAGCCTAGGTAGGTACCCATGGTGCAGACTTGTAAGCCTAGCTACTCAGGAGGCTGAGACTGAGATTGACAGTTTGAAGCCAGCATGTACAGTGAAGTCTATGAGACTCCATCTTCAATTCACCAGCAAAATGCTGAGCTAGATATTTGGTTCAAATGGTATAGTATCAGCTATGACCAAGCCACGCCAAGTGAGAGCACAAGGCCCTGACCTCAAGCTCCAGTACCAGTAAGACAAAAAAGAGGATCATAATCGCCCAATAGCTATGTACAGATGACCATACAAAATGATGCTAATCAACATGAACTCTATGATATGGAAATGAGGGGTTTGTTGTGGTGGTTTTGTTTTTCTTTTTTTTTTTAGTGTGCTGTTTTCAGTTATTGTTTTTGTCTTTCTTTCTCCTCTGGTTTATTCCCTGTGGTCACTGTTTCTGATTTTGGCACCCTTTGTCTTGTATAAGTTTATCTGATTTGGAACAGTGAAGGGGAATCACAGAAACAGTGGGACAAAGGATGAACCAATGTAACAATAATACTCACTAGACACTAAATTGCAAATGAACTTTACAACTTGTGGGGAGACAAGTCCGGGGAAGGAAAAGTGAGAGAAAATGAGGGAGGAGGTAACACTGTTAGAAAACAAATACATCATTACCTTATTTATGTAACTGTAACCCTTCTGTACATCACCTTTACAGTAAGGTGCAATTTAAAACAAGAAAGAGAAGAGAGAAGGAAGGAAGGAAGGAAGGAAGGAAGGAAGGAAGGA